AGATTATCACTAGTTTCTTTGATAGATCAGATCTTTGACATCATATCCAAAAAGAATAAGCCCAGACCCAAGGCCACCCAGATGCTCCTCCCCTTTTATTTTCTGGGAGCTACATAGTTTTGTATCTTCTATTTTGGCCTATGATCCATGTTGAGCTCACTCTTCCGAAGAGTGTAAGCTCTGTGGCTGAATGGAAGGTTTTATTTATTTATTTTCTTTTTGCATGTACATGCTATCTGTCCCAGCACCATTTGTGGAAAGAGCTATCTTTCCTCCTTTATTTTGCCTTTGTTCCTTGGTCAGCTATTGAATTGTTGTATTTTTGTGGGCCCCTTTCTCGGTTCTGTTCTCATGACCACTTTCTTCGTTGGTTAATTCCATACAGTCCTGGTTACAATAGCTTTATAATAAGCCTTAGAATTAGTATCTGTCCTCTGACTTTGTTCTTGGCCAGCATTAGGGTGACTGCTTTGGGCTCTTTTGCCTTTCTAGAATCAGTTTGTTGGAACTGCATCGAGTTTATAAGCCAAGTTCAGAAAAGCTGAGGTTACCTTTCCTATGGCTGTGATGAGACATGGTAACCAAGGTCACTGATAAAAGAATGCATTTAATTGGGCTCATGGTCACAAAGGGTTAGAGTCCATGATGGCAGAGTGAAGGCATGGTGGCAGAAACAGCTGAGAGCTCACATTTTGATCCATAAACAGGAAGCAGAGGGAACACTGGGAATGTCTTTTCAAACCTCAAAGCCCACCCCCAGTGACACACCTTCTTCAACAAGGCCAGTCCTTCCCAAACAGTTCCACTAACTGGAGACCCAAGTATTTAAACGTGAGCCTATGAGGGACATTCTCATTCACACCACCAATGATTCCAATCCATAAACATGGAATGAATCTCTAGAAATTTAATCTTTTTGGTTTTTTTTTAATCCTAATTTCATAGTTTTCCTCAGATGAACCTTATGTATTTTGTTAGATTTTCATATAAGTATTTCATTTGGGAGTGCTAGTTTTGAGTAGCAATGGTTTTAGTTTTAAAATCCATTTATTCATTGTTGGTAGATAGAGAATTGATTACCTTTTTTGTATTAACACTGTATCCTGGACCTTATTATAACCAATTAGTGGCTGAAGGAGAGTTTTGTCTGCATATCTCTTTCTTCCTTTCTTCCACTCTCCCTCCTCTCCCCTTTTGCGTTCTTCCTGCTCTCCCCACCTCTTTTCTCTTCTCTCTCCACCAGTTTCTAGTCTTTCATGTCTTCTACAGACACATTTGCATCTGCAGACAGGAGTTTGGTTTCCTCTCTTTGATGTGCATGCCTTTTGTGCCCCGTGTTTGTCCTACTCTCTCAGTTAGGTAGAATCCAGAAGAACGTTGGCATGGGTTAGAAAGAAGAGGTCTTGTTCCAGATGTTGGACCTGCTTTGCATACCTGGAATAATCCCACAAGATCATGGCATTTAATTCTGCTAGACGCAATTCATTGTTAGATTAATTTTACTATTGTTTTGTCAAGGGTTATTGTCAATTATTTATTTATTTATTTAAATTTTGAGAGTGTTTGCATGGAAGATCTTGCTTTGTACTTTTCCCACTGCCTTTTCTTGTTTTGCTATTAGGGCTCCAAGATGAGTTAGGACAGATCTCCTCTGCCTCTGTTTTCTAAAAGAGACTTTGGAGAACTGGATTTTCTTCCTTAAAAAGGTCACTTCCTTGACCAGTGAGTCCATTTGGGCCCAGTGCTTCGGTGGATCATGTGTTTCAGTCTGCTAGTTTTCATTTCAGATGTATTAAGGTTTGTGGGGGCTGGAGGTATAGCTCAGTGACAGAGCACTTGCCTATAATGCAAAGAGTCCAACAACAACAATTATGTTTTTTTTCTTCTCTCTTCCCTCCTCCCTGGAGAGAGGCTCAAGGATTTTCTACAAGAAACCACTTTTTCTCAGTTGACTTTGCATTTTCAATTCAATTGATTTTCATCTAATTTTTATCTTCTCCTTAGTCTGGATTTTATTTGTATTTTTTTCTAGTTTCTTAAACAAAAGCTTAGATGACTGGTTTTAGGGTCTTTTTCTTTTCTAATACATATGCAGTTGGTGCTATTAATTTCCCTGTAAGCACTGCTTTGGCCGCATCTCATTCATTCTGATGAGCTGTACTTTCCACTTCAATCAGTTCTCTCTTGGTAGTCTTCCGCATTAGTTGGCAGTGTGTTGCTTGTGATTCTCCAGTTCTCTTTCTGTAACTGACTTCTGGTTCCACTCCACTGTGGTCTAAAATCAGACATTGTATAAACGCTATAAAGATTTTTGGAATAAAATTTAAAAGTATACCTTAACCATCCTGCAATGTGAACTCCGATCCTGACCAAGATTGCCCCCAGTCCAACCCAGTATTGTGTTTTCTTGATGGTTTTACTCCCTTAGAATTTCAGCTTCTGTATAGAAGTCAGGGACCTCTCATTTTCCTCCACGGCAAGGTAACAGTGTGTGTGCACTGCTCTGATGACACAGTTCTTCTTTTATTGACATTTTTGTGGTGAGCCTAGCCTTTAATGGCAGAACCATCCCTCTGGCCTGCTTTCCCAGTCTTTTTTTTTTTTTTTTTTTTTTTTTTTGGTTTTTCGAGACAGGGTTTCTCTGTGTAGCTTTGCACCTTTCCTGGAACTCGCTCTGTAGACCAGGCTGGCCTCGAACTCACAGAGATCCACCTGCCTCTGCCTCCCGAGTGCTGGGATTAAAGGCATGCGCCGCCACCGCCCGGCTGCTTTCCCATTCTTAAGGCTGTAGTTTGTTGTGATGCTCACCCTTGTCCTGGACCTCATCAGAAGCCCTGATTTTTGTAGTACAGCTGTTTCGGGTTCTTGACGTGGTAGTGCAGAGACAGGTGATTTAGCAGGAACAGGGTAGATAGCTGGGCCATGGTTCCAACTTCCATGGCTCTAAACTCCAAACTCCAAACACTTCAACTCTAGCCTCAGACCCATTGTAGACATGGTCTAGCCCTGGCCCTAAAGCCTGCTGTCCATCTGGCAATGCTGGACCATTCCTGACTTCACTGGCCTGGCATACAGCATGCTTGCAGTCCCAGAGCTGGAGTACAGTGATGAACGTCTCTGACTAGCTACCATGCCAGAGCTCCTGGACCCAACTGCAACCACATATACCTCATCTGCTAGTCTGTTGCATGCCGGGATGCAGAGTCACATCTTCCAAAACAGTTTGTTTTAAGGCATTTTATGGTCGAGCATGCAGTGTGTAAACTGAACACTCATGTGTGCTTGAAGAGTGTGTGTCTTTCTGATGGGTGAAATAGTCAATGGAATCGATTATATCCAGGTGATTTGGTGTCTTTGCAGCATTCAGCTATGTCCTTGATGAGATTCTGTCTTCAAGCCTGCTCCTCTCTGGAAGCAGAGTATTGAAGTCTCCAGATCTAATAGCAGGAGCATCAATTATTCATTTCATTTACTGGCTCTATTTTGATATTCTCTTGCTAGGTGCATACATGTTAGGGATTATTCTATCTACTTGGTGAGCTGACTCATTGAGTCACTGTGCACTGCCCCTCATTTACTACAACGGCTTTCCTTGTTCCAAGTAATGTCTGTACCTGAAGTTAATGCACTGTGGTACAAGGAAGCATATCGGCTCCAAATCCCTCCTGGAAATGGCAGGAGATATGACCAAGAGCCCCCATGGATGCTGGGAACTGCAAATAGTGCTCGGATCTATATATGCTGTGTTCTTCCCATAGTGAACCTATGACAGAGTTCCATGTATAAATTGGGCACAATCAAGGTTAATAACAATGACCAGTAGTAGAACAGAACCCTTGTCACAGTGAGCTGTCAAGTGACAGCGTCACTTCCTTTGCAGTTTGGGGGCATCGTTGGGTAAAATAAGTGCTGTTATACGCCGTGTGATAGTTTGGATTTTAAGCATCTCCCCAAGGCCCATGTGTCAGGCTTGGGCCACAGTTTGGTCTGGAAGGTAGAGGAAACCTTTAGGAGACATGTCTCCTTAAACTGCTCCCCTCTCCCTCCATCCAAGATGGAACCAGCGCTCTATGCATGGGTTAGTAGGTAACCATTCTACCTTTGGGCTATACCCTCAGCTTCTCTTAAAGCTTATTAGCTGTAGTTCACTGGTTTGGTAATTCCAACATCCTTGCCATGTCAAGAATCTAGATCTGTTGTTCCATCTCTTCCAACTATTTTACATGTTTTATTATGTCTTATAATTTTTTTCTTGATAACCAGATATTATATCCTCGGTCAAAGGAGAGGCAGCAAATGCTCCACAACATAGTGTCTTATAGATAGCCGGTACCTGTGGAGTGCAAACCCCCAGTGCTCCCAGGCTCCTTTGGCCTCAGAGGGATGGCTAGAGTGGTCTGGACTTAATGTTTCCCCAAGGTTAATGAGGATCTGATAAAACCCAGCAATAAAGCTCAAACAAGATGTTTCTTCTCGCGGCAGGCCTGGGTAAGACAAGCAGAAATAATCTGGCCTGCTTCAGGCTTGTTTGTTTGCCTCTGGCCCTGTTGGAAGTTGGCTGAGTGTCTCCTATGATTACCAGGGAGCTCCCTGTATCATGTGACCCATAACAGAGCAGTGTGGAGACCACATATGTGGCATCCATTTTGGCCTAGAATCAAGCTTAGGTCAGTGAAAACAAGTTGGCTTTTACAGAGGCGGTATCCTATTCCCCAGAAGGAAATGTAAATGTGACCTCTGCTTGCTCTTATTTCATGTATGTAGGAAGAAGGGGGCGGGGCAACTAGAAACATCTTCCAGACATTCTCTGCAAGGTGGCTGATAGGTGATTGTAGTTCTCTGTATTGGGATGGGAGATGGTTTTTATTTATCTATTTTTATTTTTCTTCATTTTCTAACCTCTGTCAGATGAACATGCATCCCATTTGATGATGGTCATTGGGTTAGGGTCCCATTTTAGGCATGAGTATTAGATGTCTGTCCTTCTTTTTCCCTCACAGTCTGCAAAATGAATGTTCACCGTCGATGTGAGACCAACGTGGCTCCCAACTGTGGGGTGGATGCCAGAGGGATTGCCAAAGTGCTGGCTGACCTCGGTGTTACTCCAGACAAAATCACCAACAGCGGCCAGAGGAGGAAAAAGGTAAGGGACCACTGTTTCTGGAGCTTTCTCTGGGCCTGCTTCTGAGAGTATTCTAGAAGGAGGGTGAGAGATTTCTAAGTTTAGTCTTCTTACTTAAATAATCATAATAGCACGTGTTTGTGGACAAAAATAAAGAGGCCAGGTAACATGGAAGTCTCTTTATGCCTCCCAGTGGGAAGAAGGGGGCAACAGAGCAAGCCTTAAGAGTTAGGTGCAGGTTAGGGGAAGCTTAGCAGTAATTTGGTTTTCTTCATATCCATGAAACCCTGGGTTCAATTCTCAGTAACACAACGGAATAAAAAGTTCACCAGAGAAAACAAGCTTTGAGCTGAGGACCTTGAAGTCCCTTCTAGAAAAAGCATGACACTGTAGACCAGCAGTTCTCAACTTTCCCGGTGCTGCGACCCTTTAACACATTCCTCGTGTTGTGGTGACCCCCCCACCATAAAATTATTTTCAGTGCTACTCTATAATTGTAACATTGCTATTGTTGTGAATCGGAATGTATCTGTGTTTTCTGATGGTCTTAGGAGACCCCTGTGAAAGGGTTGTTTTATGCCCCCACCCCACCCCACCCAGGGCCAGTTCCTTCAGACAGCAAGCCATGGTTTGAGCCAGCCCTTGCACTGAGCTGACTGGGAAATACTTAAGGACACTTGGCCTTTCCTTAGCCACCAAAGCCCTATATATCCAGATGGCATTCCACGTGTCACTTGGAGTAGTTGCATGTTCTACTGTGTTGTTTTGGCAAATCAGGGCCTGTGGAGGTAAACAGAGCTAAAGGCATCTCTAGTGGGCTCTGCTTCAGCAATGACGCCTGGTCTAGAAAACCTAAGGGCCTTTGGAAAATTGGTTCTAAGAGAAGCAGAGCCACGGTATCCATCCAGTTGATGCTGATGTGGGTGGGTTGGGTGGGGCCCCAGCTGCCAGGTGTTGAACGTCTCCAAGCCCTTTTCTAGAAGAGCAAGTCTTTCTGTAGGGGCCTCACACCCTTCATTCCTGTGTTCTCTCTACACGTGGCCTGAAGTACCTTCCAAGGAGCCTACACGTCCCGCTCTTCTTGTTGTCAAACCTGCCCGTGTCTTTTCCTTGGTGCCCCCAGAAGAGCCTGTTCCCACTGATGAGAAGGACCAGACAACTTGCATGTTTTTAACTATCTCTTCCCAACAAGCAAAGCTGTTTTGTAAACCCTGCAAACACTATCCTGTCCCTGTTAACCGTGGGGCCTTATACATTGGGTGACTTCTTTAGGTTCTATGAGTTGTGTTGGGAAAAACAAAATAAGACTTTGTTTGGTGCCCCAAGGCACTAGATTTGCAAAGCAAAGTAACACTAGCCAACAATACCAGGGCCTCCTGAAGAGGCAGGCTGAGAAGGGACTGTGGTGCCAATGCCCCATTGATTAGCACCAGAGAGACATCAGGAGATTGGCTTTCCCCTGCTGGAAGTACGGCTGTCTTTCACTGTCAAGAGAGGTTTAAAGGGAAATGCTGTGCCCTGTTCTTTCCTGCATTCACACAGACTGTGGGGGTGACGAGATGCCGTCTACTGCCTTGCATTTGCAGAATTGAGTTCATGGACTCCTGATGAAAAGGGCCAGCATGGAAAAATGTAGGATCGGGCAGAGAGAAGGCCAAGGGACTGTCATCCAGCTATAGTCACTGAGGTGACAGTCCTGATACAAAGCTGAAGGAGCCAACTGGTAATTTAAGATGTATGACGGATAAGGGAGATGTATTCTTGGTCAGGAGCTGAACGATCTTTGCAGGAGTCTCAGATCTTTTGCTAAAAAGGATCCTTGAGAAGACCAAGAGAAGAGGTATCAGAGCCCCCTGTGATCTACAAGTCCAGATGGGCACTTAAGTTGGACATGCCAGCACTATTCCAGGAAACAAATGTCACTGGTTACCTTCCACTAAAATGTGCCAACAGGCTTGACTACACCTGAGAGTATTTACACCGAGCATCTGTCATGTGTATTACTTCATGCCGGCCACTAGGGGCAGTGAGAGTCTTGGAAAGTCTGTCTGAGTAGAGAACCCTACATACACAGTCTGCACCTCAGATGCTGTTATTGACGTCATGCTGAATAAGATCGTGAATAAACATCAAACAGGTGGTAGAGCCAGTCAGTATCCCATTGCATTGGTGAGATAACTTGAGTTGTATAGATAGTTGTGAGGTAGGGATGGGGAGTTGGGGATGGGGAGTTCGGGGGGAGGGGGTTGTAACTGAAAGAATGGAGCAGGGCTTTGCTTTAAAAGGTTGCCTGTCTTTGGAGAGGATAAATATTGACACAGTAGAAATCTTTCGTGTTTTGTTTCCCGTTGAATTGGCCCATGAAAACTTAAGCACCTGCTCTCAGTTTGATGGATGTTGCTGTGTTCCTCTTTACGGTTCTCTGTATCACCGGTGCCTCCATGCGTTTGACATCACTAGCCTCCTTTCTGATGACTCTCCCATCTTCTGTCCTTTCTAGCTCGTTGCTGGTGCTGAATCGCCTCAGCCGGCTTCTGGAAACTCTCCGTCTGCAGATGATCGATCCAAGTCAGCGCCCACCTCCCCTTGTGACCAGGGTGAGACTCTCAGATTTGCCCTTTACCTCTTGTCTCTGTGGCCTGTTAATCAACACAGCCAGTGGCCTACGAGATCCGCGCACATTGCTTCCATGTTATATGGTAGTTGCTTTTGCATGCTACAAGGCTTTCTTGAGGGCACTAGCTGGAAGTGCTGGTCACCGCTGTTCCCTGCAGCCTCACACTCACCTGTGACTTCCAGGTCTGTCTCTTGCCTTGTGCTGTCTTTCTGCACCTCCTGGGGCTTTTATTCAGGTAGACAGACCAGGCCAGGCAGGTACCATGTTTCTCAGCCCGATATGAGAACTAATGGATGGGAAACGTTCTTAGTAATATAGCTACCACAAAACAGAGCTGAGTCAGGCGCTGTCTCTCCTCCATTGTAAGATGTTTTCCTCAAGCTTTTGGGGGGGGGGCGGGTCTTAGGTCATCTGGGTTCTGCCTTTCAAGATGCTCTTAGCAACTGAGGCCCGATGCGACAAAAAGTCATACTTTGGAGTAGAGAGGTAGGTCGGTAGGCAGCTGCTGAAGTCTGTCATGATAAGGTTATCTGCAGACTTGGATGGTGTCCTTTCCACCCCAGTATGAGTTCACTCCAGATCCCCTGCATGGGCCCTTGTGGCGAAAGTCCTTCTGGACAGGAGGCAAAGAGCTTCCTATCCAGGGTGCTGCTCACTCATCTGTCTCCATCCCAAGGGATAAACTCTCTGCTCCCGTCTGTAACCCCTGTTACTCATGAGAATCTTTTGCGGTAGCGTCATGTCAAGATCCCCATTCTGCACAGATGAGTGCTCGCTTTGGTGAATGAATGTCTGACTATAATAGGTCTTCTTCAAACAGAAAAGGTCAAAGGGCCGCCCAACACTGTCATCCCCAGGTAATTTAGGTCGCATACCCCAGAAGGCTGCAAGACCATCTCATAGTTATGAAAATGGACTGTAGAATTCCTCCCCGTCAAAGATAAATTAGTGACATGTCATGGTGGGAAGCTCTTCTTTTGTTAATGATAAGCCTGTGGCTCACTCTATGAGGTAGCTTTGTGTGGGATAAGTACTCAGAGTAAAGCCAGCATCCAGGCCAAGTAAAGACCTTTAGAAGACAAAGGCTTCCTAGTCCCTGTGAGTGAATGATTCTGTCACCAGTGATGACTGTGAGCGTGGCTTCTAAGTGTTTGTTCTAATCTTCAAAGGAAACTTGAAGGGAAGGGAGCCTGTCGCCTCTGAGTCTGCAGAGTTCCGGGGAAGACATGAATTCTCACCACACCTCGAATCATGGTCAAGGTTGCCAGGAGGCCTTCAGAGGCCTTTGGTGGCAGTGAACCCTGCCAGTTCAGGAACTATGTCTTCCTCCCTCCTCACTACAGACTGATGTCTTGTGCATTAGGCACCAGAGGAAGTGTGTTGGACAGATAAAGCAGCCTACAGAAGGATGTCCCTAGATCTGCCGCTATGAACAGCTGAGGAGGGCTGAAAGCTCATGGATTCTGAATATGGAGTCTTAAGGTAAAGGGCGCATGAGGGGCCTTCTAATCTAGCATCTTTTTCTTCTTGGCCCTAGAACTAAAAGAACTTGAAAACAACATCCGGAAGGCCTTGTCGTTTGACAACCGAGGAGAGGAGCACAGAGCATCATCATCTACCGATGGCCAGCTGGCCAGCTCCGGCGAGAACGGTGAAGTCCGGCAAGGCCAGGCCAAGCGCTTGGGCCTGGATGAGTTCAACTTCATCAAGGTGTTGGGCAAAGGCAGCTTTGGCAAGGTCGGTGGCACACAGGTGGACTGGTGCTGGTTTCCTTTGGGCAGTCTGGCCTGTTCTGGTCACCTTTTCCTTCCTTATGGGGTGAAAACGGGCTCATGCCTGGCGGATGGGGGTCCCAGTTCTGCTCTTCGGTTGGTTGTGGGAATTCAGTTGTTCTCATTTGTCCAATGGGGAGAGGAGTGGAGCGGAGGAGGGAGCACACTGTCAATCAAACCCCTCTGCAGGTTTCTTCCTTGTGCAGAGAGCCGTCTGAAATTCTGCTCTCCTCAGGAGGAAGTCTGTGAGCATGCGTGAACTCTGAGCCCTTGTCCTCCGTGAACTTTAGGTTCAGAGCAAACCTTACCATGTAGGACTTTGGAAGCTGAATGTCCTTTAGCTGACTTTCCTGGTGCTGCTCTTCCTCTCTGTGACAGAAGAGCTGGATAATCCTGTAGTGGATCTGGGGCCCCTGTCTTGAGGACATTTTCCCCTGCTCTCGACTGCATAAACACCAGGTGGGGGCTGTGCCCTTCAGTGAGCTCAGCGATGAGTTTGAGGAGATGCAAAGATTTGATTTTAGAGGGACAAAAAGACAAAGAGCCCAGGAAACTGGGGGATCATGTCAGACTTCTGTCTGCCTCTTGTCCTCCTTCTTCAAGCTGTGCCTTGGGGTTCATGGGAATTGCCTTTTGGGGACCTCATGAAACAGAGACCCTATTTGGGGACCAAGCAGCTCTAGGAGTCATGTGCTCTCATATGTCCTGGGCTCTGGGAAGCTGTGCCCATGAGTCAGTCTGCTGGCTGAGCTGAAGGCCTAGTCCACCATTCCAGAGCAGTTCTGAGGGAAGGCTCTGTGAAGCCCCCAGGCACAGGGCCTGCTCTGCAGGCCCTCACCTGCCCCTATCTGTCCTGAGATCTCCTGGCAGGGAGGTACCTGGAACTGACTCAGAGGGCAACTGCTGAAGCAATTGCATTCTTTAAAAATAGCTAAATAAAAAACAGACCCCAGGCCTCTGGTTTAGGCACGACTCTGGCTTAGGCTGTGAGCAGGGCTGGGTTTGAGTTTGAGCAAGATTCTAGGGAAAAGAGCATGCTCAGAGCTTCCCACTTAGTGACGTAGGAGTTCTGATCACTTAGCTAGTAGTTTCTTAGGCAAACTCACAGCCATTACAGTAAGGTTTGAGTCAGTTTTACAGGCTGTATTTTGTGGGTAACAGAATCTTGAACCTCTCAGGTTCCTTGGGTTGTGGTCATTTCCCTTTGACAACAATACTGGAATAGTACACTTCAGAGTCATCCAAAAGGAGAAAAGACCCATGACTGGGGTAGGTAAATGAAAATACCCACTTAAAGGCAAAGGTCAAGAACATAGACCTGGCCGTCATCTGTCAGGGGAAGAAATTGTGTTTTCACTTGCAGAGCTATGGAAAGACACCATAATGGCAAACACAGGGTGTAGATGTAATTCTAAACGGTCGTATTAAATAAGAAACTCAGAGCCAAATAAAGAGTTAAAAGCCCAGAGATGGAGCAGTAGCCAAGAGCTGAGACCACCTTATCTTACCATTCGCTGCTGTCCTTCCCCTGAGAGAGACCTTCTTCCTGTGTCCTGTCTTTTTATTGCCTTTCTGTTCTGCCTTCTCATTGGTTCTAAACCCAACCACATGACTTCCTCATCACTGCCTGTCTGTACAGATCTCCAGGTCTCTATGGTTGGTACTGAGATTAAAGGTGTGTGTCACCATGCTGGCTGTGTCCTTGAACACACAGAGATTCTGCCTGCCATGTGATCGGATTAAGGGCGTGTGCTACCACTACCAGACTTCTGCTTAATGACTTGCTCTTAAGCTCTGATCTCTGGGCAACTTTATTAACATACAAATAAAATCACATTTCAGCACAAATAAAATATCACCATAACAGGGCAGGTTTAAGTACACAAATGTTCAGGAACAAAAATAACAGACTGCCATGAAGGAGGCATGGAGGCCTGTGCAGAAAGCTAGAGGTTTGTCTTTATGTATCATATATGTACCGACTTAGGAGAAATAACACAAGCCAGTGAGTAACTAAGCAAAAGGAAAAGCAATTCTCTCCCAAAGCAACTCAATTAGAAAATAAATATTCCAGAAAGTTCAGCTGAAAGTTGAAAATGGAATCAAAATTATATCTCCCACTTGTTAAGTAAGAAAAAGCAAACAAACAAAAAAAGTTGTAAGTTAATGTGGCCTGTGCTCATACTAAATCTATGTTACACACTAAAATGATATTCTGTGTGTATGAACACAGCCCCCTTGAAAGTCAGGAAATGTGTTAAATGTTTAATGAGAATTTCTATTTCAAGGATATAAGGCCAAGGAAAAATTTAAATTGTGTCCAAAAGCACTCAGTGCAACTTATATAGAATTTAATTTGGTATAACTTAAATTTCCAATAGGAGGGAGATATTGGAATAAATTATAGTGTTTTTACTTTATCAGCAATCAGGATAATGATAGTGACCTTATAGGAAAATACATAGAAAATATTGCTTCTTCTGAAAGCCCTGTATTCATTTGTAGCATGGTAGGGTACACCTATAGTATCAACACTTGGGAGACTGAAGCAGAAGTGTCATGAGTTCAAGACCAGCCCAGGCTATGTAGTGTGGACTGTCAAAAAAAGGAAGAAATTGAAAAAGAAAAAAAAAGTGAGAGGAGAGGGATAGAGGGGAGAAAGAGATACATTTGTTCTCTGGTAATTACAGCATCACTAATGCAGATGAAGATACGAGTAATGATGTAACCTGAGCACCATGCCAGAGATTAAAAAGAAGAAAAGAAAAACTTTAGCAGCTGACTTAGGCAGGGTAGATTCCCTAAACATTTCAAACGTTAATTTCCGAAACATCCTCATTCAAAATGAAAGGAAAAACGCAAGCAGCATGTAGGTGTTTGACATTGTTTGAGTCCGTGTGTGCGTAGACTGACCAGATGGTTCAAACTGATTGCAGGTCATGCTGGCGGAACTCAAGGGCAAAGATGAAGTGTACGCTGTGAAGGTCTTAAAGAAGGACGTCATCCTCCAGGATGACGACGTGGACTGCACGATGACGGAGAAGAGGATTTTGGCTCTGGCACGCAAACACCCTTACCTAACCCAACTCTATTGCTGCTTCCAGACCAAGGTATGCTTGCGAAGGGGGCTGATCTCGGGTAGTATTGTGGAATGTAACACATAGTCTCTCGACCTTGTCGGATACCAATTTTTGACCTTCTACATGCTTCTCTATAAGGCAGAGTAGAGTTTATCTTTGCGGAAATAGGGACACGATCTTCTTTGAGAGTGCCCTTGTACAGGGATGAGCAGAGCAATGGTGTACTTTGCAAATTGTAGCTACACAAAGCAAAATAGTGGTGTATACTCTGCTCCGGCTCCTAACTTTTATCAACAGTCAAATCACTTCTAGGTTGTTTCCAGCTCAAAAGAAAATGAGCAAAAGCTACCCTAATTCTTCTAACTTGTGTGATGTCATAAGAGATGCAAAATCTAAACATGCTTGGAATTCCACAGTGAAATTCAAGCGTTTTGAAATTTACCGCATAGGTGCCTGACCACCAGCAGGTGGCGGTAAAGGGACAAGGATCTGTAAGAGCATCCTTGGAGGCCCCCTCATCTGATGTGGTATTATTCTTAGATGGGGGAAAAGCACATTTTCTTCATAAAATTCTTACTTTATTTTTCTTTGGGGGGGGCATGTGTGGGAGAAAGTCTTCTAGGATGCATTATAGATTTGTAGTGTTTGTCTTTAAAAGACAAAGAAAGCTTGAATCTAGACCCCTATCTGTTCCTGCCTGGAGCCTAGATAGTAAACAGTTGCATTCTGGATGAGCACCGGGGTGCTGGAGCTGTGTGTGCATTTGTACGTGTGTGTGTGTGTGTGTGTGTGTGTGTGTGTGTGTGTGTGTGTGTTTGTGTGTGCGTGCATGCGCTTGCACACATGTGAGGTGTCTGGCTCTTGGGCATACTCTCCACCATTTTGGGCTGAGTGTCATTCTCCCTGCTTAGAATGAAGCGAATTCCTCATCTTGTCACTCAGGAACCTTTTATTCCAACTATATTGAGTGTTTCCTATATGCTAGGTCCTGATGAGCCAGATTCCATTTCTCAGAAACCTGGTCTCTTTGGTTCAGTTCCCCCAAGGCTGGTTCTGAGAGCCCTGCTTATCTCGGGAGCTTTAAGAATGAAGGACTCTGTGGCCCCTGCTTCTGTTCAGCAGTCTTAGTACACATTTATCAGAGTCCCCGAAGAGTCCTGCAGTGGAAAAAGGCCTCAGTTTCATCCACTGTAGCTCAACTTATCTGGTCCCCACCACCCCGCATGCCACACCTAGTCCACGTTGAGCAACGCTGATCTAGGGGGAATTTCCCTCTCCTCTGATCTCTTCAGAAATGAGAAACACCTGAAAATGCCCAGCCATCCTGTGGCTTCTCCTTCAGGGACACCAGGATTGTTTTCTCTGGGAAGCTGTCTTCAGAGAGCCCCATTTCGTAAGACTCGGTTCCTTTCCTGAGCAAGCCTAGGAATGGCTGGCTAAGCCCCACTTTTCTCTTAAATGCATATTGTGCAATTCCAAACGGGCTGGTGTGAGTTCCTGTGTGTTTACAAATGCAGAGTCCATTGGGACGTAAGAAGCCCAGAGATGGGGCCACCTTGCTTTTTTTTTTTTTTCCACTAGAACTTAGCTGTTGTTTTTGGTTTTGAGATGGTACCTGAGTTCACACAGGCCCAAAACTTGTGATGATCCTGTTTCCACCTCTTAAACAGCGGCATTCCAGGCACGAGCCTCCATGTCTGACTCCTTTTAGAACTTCATTCAAGATTCAAGAGAAGTGTATCAGGTCCCATATGTCTTTATTGTCCATGGTACTTATACTACATGGGCTCACATCCAATATGTGCTACTGTCACAATCAGATACTTGAAAGTTTTTTGAGTTTTGTCTTAAAAACAATAATGACAGTAAAACCCACTTAGTCTACTTTTCTCTTTGTACCACTGAGAAAATTGTTTCAGAGAACAATAGTCTTTTTTTTTTTTTAATGTATTTGGAGGTGGGGTAGTAGGAATTGAACTTAGAGTCTCATGCATGTTATGCAAGAACCCTGCCTCTGGGATATGAATAAGAGATTTTACTTTCCACAGGCAGTACATGTTGGCAGTCAAACCTGGCACCTCATCTGGCCTCTGGGATTGCTACTCCGGTGAGGCCTTGATCTGATGTGACTGCCTCTGCCAGCTGAGTGCCCCACCAATCTCTACAGGCTCATGTCTGACTGAGGTGGCTGTGTAGGGAGGGAGCCACATTACCTCTCTTTCTATGAACTCAAAAGGTCCAGGTGCCTAAAAGAGCTGGGTCTAGCCATGAAGGCTCTGTGGGGCTCCTGTATATGGTGATTCTTGGAGAACCACAGTTGGGGGCCTCTTGATAGGTAAATGAGAAAGGGTGATGACATCTTCAGTGCCACTATATACTACAAAAAACTCACACTGAAGATTGCCAAAGCCAAGGTTTCTCTTTGGAATACAAACTGGCATTGAAGAATACCACGACTTCTACTTATGGCAGAAGAAATGAACTAACATGGTTTTGAGGGTCTAGGTGGCAGAGAGAAAAGACTTCCTCTGCATGTCAGAGATACACTAATCCCCAGGCCAATGTCAGGTAGTCACAGGAACAAGCTGGCACCTCTTTTAAACAGCATGTCTGTAGTTTATCTTTCTTAATAAATTATAATTTACTCTTCCTACAGGACATTGATTTACTAATCGAAGGAACTTTATGAAGCATCATTTTATAGACCCTGTCTTAGTAGAGTTCTATTGCTGTGAAGAAACACCATGACCATGGCAACTCTTATAAAGGAAAACTTTTCATTGGGGCTGGCTTATAATTCAGAGTGTAATCCATTGTCGTCATGGTAGGAAGCACGGCAGCACACAGGCAGACATGGTGCTGGAAGCTGAGAGTTCTGCATCTGGATCTGTAGGCAGCAGGAAGAGTCAGTGAACCGCTAGGCTTGGCTTGAACTTCTGAAACCTCAAAGCCCACTCCCCGGTGACACACTTCCTCCAACAAGGCCACACCTCCTCCAACAGAGCCACACCTCCAGTGAGTCTATGGGGGCTATTTTCATTCAGACCTCTACAGACCCCAAATTTTACTTTGAAAAACTGACTTGCAGGCTGGAGAGATGACTCCGTGGTTAAGAGCACTGGCTGCTCTTCCAGAGGACCTGGGATCAATTCCCAGCAACCCCAAGGTGGCTCACAGCCATCTATAATGGGATCTGATGCCCCCTGCAGGCATACGTGCAGACAGAGCACTCATACATAAATTTTTAAAAAACAAAACAAAACCCTGACTTCTTCTTTACCAACCAATAGTCATGGTTTTAAAGAATGGCTGTTAACCTCCTGATTGAAGTAGACGGGAACACAGATTCTCATGAGGAAGGGTGACTGGGTCCAGGAACGAGGACTTATACCAGCTTCTACAGTAAATTAGCACTAAGTAATCCTGTTCGGGGTGGACACTCAAACCAAGAGGACTCAGAGCTGCTGTTCTTCAGGGTCTAATGGAGAAGAGGTGCTTTTGAAGAGTGAGACTTGGGCAGGGCAGGGAGCTGAAAGGGCAGCCATGATCCATGGTCAGTTTCCAATCTTGCTTGCATGTTGTTTTTCCTGAAAACGTCCAGTTCCTCGGCCCCTAGGTGAGCCTCAGTGTGGGGAGCTGAATAAGAATGATCCCTCCAGGCTCAGACATTTGAATGCTTGGTCTCAAGTTAGTGGCACTATTTGAGGAAGCTTAGGGGGTGTGAGAGGTGTGGCTTTGTTGGGGAGACTGTGTCACTGGAGGCGGGCTTTGGGGTTTAGAAGCCTCTCGCCATATGCTCTCTCTGCTTCTGGCTTGCAGTTCAAGATCTGATCCCTCAGCTTGCTGCCCCTGCCACCATGTCTTTGCTCAGCCATCATGGAATTTAACCTTCTGGAACCATAGTGCAAATAAACTCTTTGTTCTCGGGCTGCCTTGGTCATGGTGTTTTATCACAGCGATAGAAAATTCACTAACAGATTCAGGGTTTAGTATAGAGGAAGACAAGGTTCTCCTGGAAACGGCTTTGAGAACTTCCTGGTAGATGATGCACGGCTTTAAGCTGTGTGCTGTGTACAGGTTGGCTGGCTGACTTGGAAGAGTGTAGAGTAAGGGCCTGTGTCTTTTTTGGCAACCAGGGATGATGGCTGTGCAGATCCATTGGCATTAACCGTAATGGTTCAGTCAAGTCTGGCGGCTGCAGCCCACTGAATGACCACACTGAATTCAAATAGTGACTTGAGATTTTTCTATACTAAGCCACTCTGTTCTCGGTAAGCGTACTGCAGCTGTCTTCCATAGGCTTTGGAAGCTAAGAAGCAAGTGACTCCAGCATTCCAGGGCTAGTGAGGATGGGCAGATAGGCTAGTCAGTAAGGCTACGAGTTACATTTCCATCAAATTCAGACCTTGTGTTAGACTTGAGCTTCTGCTATATTGTGTACCTTTTGGGTTTCTAGGGAGGCTACAAACCTGAACCTTGAAATAGGGCTAACATCTAGAAGATGAAAGGTGCCAGGAGATGGCCTCAAAGTTCTTTCTAGATGTCATTTTGACATTTTCCCCACACTGGACTTCACAGCTCCTGTGTCCCTGCTTCTTTATGGAAAAGGAGGCCCAGGGAAAGAGGTGAAGTTGGGGGGTCAGGTGTATACTGAGAAAATAAGGAAAATAAATTCTTGCAAAGTCAGAGGCCGAAGAGAAAGAGACAGCAGTGCTGTGAGCCTTCTTTAGGGGCCTGAGGTGTCCTCCTAGGCGCTAAAGACATGGCCTGCTCCAGGTTAGAGCTTGATGGAGAAGCCGCTTTTTCAGAAATTGCCTGTCCCATTGGCGGCTAGGGCTCAGAGAACCCTAAGAGAGATTGGTTTTGATTTTGTGGTTAACAGAAAATGAAAATTCCCAGGCCCTTTTAGATTCTGTATGTTTCTATTTCATGCTCGACATTGCCAAACCACCCTTTGCAATTGGCTCCCACGAAACCTGACTGGGACAACTTCACCCATGGTCTTGCCTCTTTAAGGCTTGCAGCCCTGC